TTTTTTTTTTTTTTTTTTTTTTTTTTTTTTTTTTTTTTTTTTATGGAGCCCAATGAGGGGCTTGAACTCAGGACCCTGAGATCAAGACCTGAACTGAGATCAAGTGTTGGGCGCTTAACCGACTGAGCCTCCCAGGCGCTCCTCATTACTGCTTTTTAATTGATATTTGTTTAGTATGGATTTACTTTAAAGTTTCACATCACCTCTTGGGGCACCTGGGAGGTGCAGAGTTGGTTGAATGTCCGACTCTCGGTTTTGGCTCAGGTCGTGATCTCAGGGTTGTGAGATTGAGCCCCACTTCGGGCTGTGTGCTCAGTGCAGAGTCTGCTTGGGATTCTCTCTCCCTCTCCCTCTGCCCCTCTCCCCGCCCCCCCCAAGTGCGCATGCACGTGCATACTCTCTCTCTCTCTCTCAAATAAATAAATGAATCTTTAAAGTTTCACATCTCTTAACAGGGGACCTGTTTTTAATTTGTGAAATATACATGGTATTGGGATCTTTGATTAAGAGAATACTCTCTCATTAGAAGTTACTGAAGTGTAATTCCAGTGGGCTGGCTAACATATATTGTGCTCATGGAGTTAGCAGCCTAGATATACTTTACCAATTCTGACTTGGTAGTCTCCATACCTATATATAATAAAAGAGCATATTCAGAAGTGGAAATACAAATAGTTTTGAGTGTCTGTTGGTGGGCAAGAAAGGGTTGATATTTTAGAAAATATTCTGAGGGTTAAATATTTCTTAAGGATGCTTTGAATTTTCTATACCTTGGATTCTTCTCTGGTTGAATTTTTACTTGAAAAGGGCATAGAATAAGGTGTTTCACTCTTTCTTTTTTTTTTTTTTAAAGATTTATTTATTTGAGAGAGCGAGAATGAGAGAGAGAGTACATGAGAGGGGAGAGGGTCAGAGGGAGAAGCAGGCTCCCCGCCGAGTAGGGAGCCCGATGCGGGACTCGATCCCGGGACTCCAGAATCATGACCTGAGCCGAAGGCAGTCGCTTAACCAACTGAGCCACCCAGGCGCCCTGTTTCACTCTTTCTTACCTGTCATCCCTTTCCTTTGAAATCCTTTTTCCTGCTATACTTGAAGGATGTCTTTTGGGATAAGCAAGCTAAATTAATACAAGGTCATAGATTTGCTGCATTTCTGTGTAGAATGTCTGTAAAGATACCTTTGATTGCAACTGAAAGGGGTTCTCTCATTTGGGGGGAGGTCCTTAAACCAACCCACTTCATGTTGGTTGCAACCCAAATCAATGTCACCAGCATTTTGACTACTTAAGGTGTGAATTTTTGTATATTTTTACATATTTAAAAATGCATATAGCTTATACAAATCTTGGGTTTTTAGACCACCAGGAAGCTTTGGAGATCACCTAGTCTTAACCTGTAACTGTATAAATGAACTGAGGTCCATAGAGGAGACATAATTTGCCTAAGAATATGGCTCATTTTACATACAAACACCCCTCCCCCATCTTCTTTTATCCATTCATCTGTCGTTGGACATTTAGGCTGCTTCCATATCTTGGCTATTGTAAATAATGCTGCAGTAAACATAGGCATACATATATCTTTTTGATTTAGTGTTTTCATTTTCTTTGAAGATGGAAGTGGAATTACTGGATTGTATGGTATTTCTATTTTACTTTTTTTTAAGGAACCTTCATACTCATGCTTTAGTTTGCATTCCCATCAGCAGTGCATGAAGGTTCCTTTTGCTCTGTGTCCTTGCCAACACTTGTCATTTCTTGTCTTTTTGATGAATGGGTAAAGAAGATGTGTGGGTGTGTGTGTACATATATATACATACACAACGGAATACAACTCAGCCATAAAAAAGAATGAACTTTGCCATTTATGACAACATGGATGGACCAAGAGCGCAGTATGCAAAGTGAAATAAATCAGAGAAAGACAAATACCAAATGATTTTACTTATATATAGAATCTGTACATTTTTTTAAAAGATTATTTATTATTTGAGAGAGAAAGAGAGTGCACAGAGGGAGAGGAGAGAGAGAGAAGCAGACTCCCTGCTGAACAGAGAGCCTGACTTGGGGCTCGATCCCAGGACCCCGAGATCATGATCTGAGCCAAAGGCAGATGCTCAACTGACTGAGCCACCCAGGCTCCCCTTTACTTATATGTAGAATCTAAAAAACAAACAAAAAACAAAAGCAGATGCATAAATATTAGAGAACAAACTGGTGGTTGCCAGAGGGGAGATTGGGGTGGCATTGGCAAAATAGGTAAAGGGAATTAAGAGGTACAAACTTCCAGTTATAAAATAAATAAGTTACAGAGGTGAAAAGTACAGCATGGGGAAGACAGCCAATAATATTGTAATAACATTGTATGACAGATGGTGTGTGGCAGATGGTGGCTACACTTAGCGTGGTGAGCACTGAGTAATGTATAGAATTGTCAAATCACTGTGTTGTACACCTGAAATTACTATAACATTGTATGTCAACTATACTTTAAAAAAAAGACTATGGTTAATTACATAGGTAACGTACCTTGAGTACTTGGACGGTGTTGAATGAATAAATGTATACTGAATTGATGACAGAGCTGAGGCTGGACTCTGGGCCTCTTGACTCAGACTGATGTTTTTCCCTCCTATTAAGCCATGTTCCAGATAGTACAGATTTTGCTAGTTGTACTATAGAAACCCAAAAGAAATGTAAATAACCCAAGCTTCTCTTCTAACATTATCTTTGAAATATTTACAGCTGAAGGCAGGTACAATCTCTACACAGCAGATGGCAAATACATCTTCAAGGAAAGAGAATCATTTGATGGGCGAAACATTTTAAAGGTCAGTACGTGGCAGGGTGAATTGGAAATCCTTTGGCATGTGTCCGAAAATAAGAGAGGAAAACAAGTCGTTCTCCTTTTAACAATAAAGTATATTTTTCTCATGCTTCTCATGAGGATCATTGATTCAAAGGTCTGGCCAAAAAAAAAAAAAATATTTTTTTTAATGTCCTAAAGGAAGAGAAATCTTTTTGAATCTGTTGAAGCTGTGATATCTCTTAGAGTACTTAAAATTGGTGAGTTCAGAAACAAGTACCCTGAGTACACGGACTCAGGAATACGTTGATTTTAACCTGGTGAGTTTTACTCTCTATTTTACCTCTGGAGGTCTGAGTTTGCAATTTTTTTTTTAAGTGAAAAAGAATTGTTTGTTTTGTTCTAGTAGACTTTTTTCTTCACCCACAGTCCCTCTCTAAAGTTGCTTTGTAATCTGTTTTTACTCAAGAATAGCCCATGTTCTGAAAAGTAGGTGGTCTCTTTCTGACAGTTGAGGCTTTGCTTCCTGAGTGTTAAATTAATCTATGAAATTTCCATAAAAAGGGTTCTTCAGGATTGCATTTATGTTTCTCCTACAGACCACATTCTGTAATATCCATGATTTATGCCGCCTCTGTCAGGTTAGCATGTCATTGTGCCTCTGGGCAAATGGAAACAGAAGTTGATACAACGGAGGGGTTTTGGATTCTTCATTTCACTTGTTCTGTAATGGTTTAGGTCATACCTTTTTTTTTTTTTTTTAAGATTTTATTTATTTATTTGACAGAGAGACACAGCGAGAGCAGGAACACAAGCAGGGGGAGTGGGAGAGGGAGAAGCAGGCTTCCCGCGGAGCAGGGAGCCCGATGCGGGGCTCGATCCCAGGACCCTGAGATCATGACCTGAGCCGAAGGCAGACGTTTAACGACTGAGCCACCCAGGCGCCCCTAGGTCATACCTTTTCAAGGCCATACATATTTTGGAGCTGGGAGGAGAGTGTATGTATATAACTTCAGAATAAGCTTTAGCTTTAGAAATGCTTTTTCTTTTTCCTTCCCCACCCCATCCACCATTGCCTTATCTGGTCACTTGGCATTTTTCTTGCAAAATGCCTAATGTGACCCCATTACCTCTAATGACATCACTTCAGCAGCTGCAAACTTCTTACCGCAGAGCCCGGCCTCACAGTGACCGGATTCCCTCTTAGGCAGGCATTCAGGCTCCTGCCCTGCCGAGCTATGTCAATTTCTTCCTTTCCTTGCTATCTTTCCTCTTTTTTGAGTGCTCCTCTTGTTGTCAAAGTAGCTATGGTAGCTTTGGTTTGAGTGGCAAGCTGCTAATGAATTCAGCTGTAGTTTACTGATTTTCCCAGGCCCCTAGCTTCAGTGTGATATGAATCTTTCTCCTCCTCCATCTCATTTCCTGGGGCTTTTCCAATAATAGCATTAATCACTTTGCTTTTTTGTTGTTGTTGTTAATTTGATTAAGAAAGAAAGTAGACCAAAAGGGGAGAGAAATCTGTAGGAATGACTCAAGCCACCTTGATTCTTTTGGAATCAGAATTAAAGCTCTGAAGGTGTGCTGATGAAAGTCAAGTGTGAGGTGCCGGCCCATCTGTAAGAGGGAGGTGATGGCAGAGAGCGTGTGCCGTGGCTGCAGGAACGGTAGGGGTCTCTCGCCTGATACTTCGTTTCTCTCACTCTGGAGAGCCAGTCTTCCAATTTAAAGATGCTTTGCCTCAAAGTCTTCCTCACCACCCCAGTGATGACATGGGTGCAGCTCCCTCTAGTGTTAACAAGGGCTTGCTCTGTTAGTAGTACCCTTCCCGGTTCATGCCTCCTCAGAGTTCTAGAGCTGGGCTCAGCCAGGGACTTCCAGACCATTTAATCCACTTTCCCGCTTCGGTCTCTCAGGGCACAAGATCCAGTGTGGTTAAAGCGATTTGCCAAAGGTTACCGCTAGTTAGTGGCAGAGTCTGAATCAACAAAAAGATTCAGATCACAGGGTTAGCATTGTTTCTGTTGCCTCCCATAAAGATGCTTCGTGTTTAGGTAGAGATCATTAGGTATTTGAAGTTGGGCATATCTGTTTGAACTGTGATAAAGTCTGATTAGAAGTCATTTCGTAAATGTTGGGGCAATGGTGTGTGCCAGTTAGTCTAAATCCGTGGCTAATTAAGAATTAGACTTGAATTGAATGCAATACTAACGCACCAACAGAAGTACTTATTGAGTGTATACCATCTGCCAGAGCATGTGCCCTGCAGATAAAACAGTCATTATGATACAGTCCCTACCTTCCAGGAGCTTCCTGTCTTTGAGGAGTACAGATGGTTAATAGGCAATTACAGTACAAAATGATGGGGGTGAGTTATGAATATAGAGAAGTCCCTTTGAACACAGATAGAACAAAGTGTGCTTTGATACAGTGTCCAATATTTTACTTTTTAATCATTAGCTGCAGAAAATGTAAGCTTTCACCTACGTTCGGTCAAAGGAATTCACTTTTCTTTGAGAATAAAGGTAAAACATGGCCTCCAACAATTAGCCATGCCCAAAGGCAGAAGAGGTAATAATTGTGTTTGTGAAGTAGCTATAGTAGCCCACCTTTTGGAATTACCATGAATGAACATGCCTTTCTCAATTAGAACATGAGAACCCACGGGCCCAGAAACCCTTGGGGAGAAAAAGATTCATAAAAACCAATGAATCATATATGTAGTTTTATACCAGGTAAAATTATTATGTTTAGAAGGAGAAAACATCAATTTCACTAACAAGATAGGAACTGACTTGGAGAAGACCGAAAGGTTAACTGCACTGGTTGTTCAGGAGGCCAAGCATATGTGGGTAGCATATTAACAGCTGCATAGGTCAAGGATCAGGAATGCTGGTGATGAGAAGCAGCCTTGGAAAAAAATCAACTTCATCTACTATTCAAAGAGAAACAAAACGAGGAAGCAAGTCATTGCTCATTGCTGTAGGAATTTAATAAGTAACAGCCAATTGCTATTCTACTCCATGAAGAGAATCGGTCCTTTTGGCTTGGTGGAATATTATGTGTTCTGGGTGCCTTAATAAGAAAGAGAAAAAGTCTTTAATGACTTTGGGAGGTAGAAGCCACATTTTTCTTTTGTACTGCTCTTTTGAGAGTTGTTGCAGCGGTAATAGACCAGCATTGGGTTATTCCTAGCTAAAGTAAGAATTTTCTTACCTTAAGAAGGACTTTGGAAGAACTGACAACTAAAGAATCACTGTCCTGTGTTTTTTGAACCAGAAAAGGAACATATTTAGTTATGGTGGGTTTTGAGGGAAGACTGACAGCTCTGAAAGGAGAATGTACAAGGGAAGAAGACCTAGGCCAAATTCAGAGGGTAGTGTCCCCTCAGAGAGTTTCTATTTCTGATCTGAGAAATAGGAGCAAAGATGTTGTTTGTTTATCCGTAAGACAGTGATAAACTTGAAATTGGAGAAACCATGCCGACCTAAAGACACACTGCTAGAAATAACTGCCCCCTTGCAAGTAGGACAGTTCAGTCCTGCCAGCTTCGGAGAGAGAGGTGGTCTTAATGGCAGTCTGTTTGGGGGCCCTCTGAGCTGGCCTTAAGCCATAGAATCACTGTTCCAGAACTGTACTCTCAGCACATTGAACACGAGCATGGTGTTAACTGTTCGAAAGCATAGCTTCTAACTGCAGAGTGAAGAAGGGTTTTCAGAGTCTAGCTTGTACTCACCAGAGGAGGTGGTATCATGCAAACAAAGGCACAGTTGATGTATTTGGGAAGGAATAGAAAGAAAGTGCTGTAGGTCCAGAATCAAAGGACACCATGAAAGTGCCATTTCTTTAGACACTTAAAAATCCTGGAAAATACAAACCAAGTAAAAGGGAGGTGAATTTGTGCCTTTTCTATTTTATATATAGGAATCTTTAAATTTAGAGAAAGAGGGAATGGGTGCTATTAAACCGTATTAAGTTTTTTTTAAAGATTTATTTATTCATTTTGGTGGGGGGAGAGGGAGAGCAGAAGCAGACTCCCTGCTGAGTATGGAGCCCCAACGTAGCTTGATCCCAGGACTCTTGAGATCATGCCCTGAGCTGAAACCAAGAGTCTGATGCTTAACCGACTGAGCCACCCAGGTGCCCCTAAAGCGTATTAATTTTTAATACTTTACTTGGAAATATGTTTTATTCTAGCCACATTGTGACTTTTCTCGAAAGCTGTAAATGATAGTAACTCAAATATTTCGTTCATTTTTGCTTTTGTTCTATCTCTGCCCCTTAACATCTTTACAAAAGGACAGGTAGAATAAATAAATTTAAGTGAGATCTTTATTTAATTTGCTTAAGGAAGCTATTTAAAAATATGTACTATTTTATCTTCTTTGGTGAAACATATACATAGAAAAGTGCATGAAATATATATATATATATACTCTTTAACAAATAATCAGGAAGTGAACAGTGTAACTACTACCAAGGTCAAAAAGTAGAACATACCTCCCTTGTCCCCCCCTGGCCAACTCCAGTTTGTTTGTTCTAAGGTAACAAAGTCACAATTAAATTCTTAAAACACTTGCAGGGAAGATGCTTGTTTTGAATGACTACTTTGTTTCAGAGTATTAGAAGAGTATTGAAAAGCTGAATTCATTTTTGTTTTTTTCTAGGGAAGAGAAGTGAGATTAAGAACTATATAGTAATTTTTTTAAAAAGGATATTAGGAGCACCTGGCTGGTTCAGTCAATAGAGCATGGGACTCTTGATTTTGGGGTTGTGAGTTTGAGCCCCCTGTTGGGTGTGGAGCTTAAAAGAAAAAAAAAGCAAACATTAATGACTACAAAGAGAGACTAGTGTTTAGAAACTGTATTATTTCTTCTTTAAAAAATATTTATTTATTTTAGAGAGTGCTCCAGCATGCACACGTGAGAGTGGGGGAAGGGCAGAGGGAGAGAGAGAGAATCTCCAGCAGACTCCCCCGCTGACTGCAGAGCCTGATGTGGGGCTCAGTCTCACTACCTTGAGATTATG